AGTTAAATTACAGGGATCTCAGTTTGATAACTCCAAATTATAAATAATGTAATTGATTATATTTAATTACATTTATGTAACATTTCCTCATTAAACCTTTAAAAGCATATTTTAGGCATTTCCATGTGGCACGTGTCATAATCCTCTTACATGTTTCATAAAACCCCAATACCCAGCCTTCATATCACATTCATCACATTGAATATACAGTAAGACACATATAAATGGATCTGTGAGTTGGATTTCCTGTGAATCTCCACAAAACCAAGACACAGATATAGGTTTGGAGTTAAGTCTCTTCCCAGTACTCAAATTGTGTCTCTTCTCATTATCATAGTCTGTTACTGTGTCCCTCTTCTTTCATCCCATTCCCCCTTTTGTGTTCCTCCCATGTCCCCCTCACATTTGTTCCTCCTCCAGATCTGGTGTGTTTTTTTCTCCCACAGCCCTATTTGAGTCTCTTCTCCCCAACCCCTTTTGTATGTCTTTCCATCCCAGCCACTTTTCTGTGTCTATTTTCTCCGATGCCTTTGCTTGTCTCTTTCTCCTTACCCAGCCTCTTTTGTGTCGATTCTCTTGCTCTTTTTTGTCTCTTCACAACAGACCATATGTGTGTTTCTTTTCCCCATCCCCAGCTCATCTGAGAATCTATTTTCTCATGCACAGCCCATCTGTGTGTCTCTTTTTTCTCCAGCAAATCTGTGTATCTCTTTCCCTTCAGTCCTTTTGTGTGTTTCTTTTCCTTTTTCCTCAGCCCCTCTGTGTGGCTTTTCCCCACAGACCCTTATCTAGCCCACCCTCCCCCCAATGTGTCTCTTTTCCCATTTCCTAGCACCTTTTGTGTATCTATTAATCTCTCTCATGGTCCCTTTGTGGTCTCTTTCACCCCCTATCCTTTTGTGGTCTCTTCTCTCCTGTGCTTGCTCACCTGTCTTCATATAGCATGGCCACATGGACTGCAGTATAGGATCTTATGTATCCTCTACCCAGTCTGATAGGAAGCTGTTAGTTGCTCAGTGAGCACTCCCCGTCAGACCAGGTAGAAGATACAGAAGATCATCTAGCATGGTCTACTCAGCCATGATACATGGTGTGACTGGCATTAGGCGATGCTATGTGCTATGCACTCCCCTCCTGCCGGGTCATCCAGTATTTTCACCCCCTGGCGGCCACCTGTGCTGCCTTATGGTTGCATTGGCCCTGGTTGGCTGAAGCATCTCAGTTGTTTTCCTGGATGGAAAGACTATTACAGAGGCATCAGGTCTTCTAAGTAAGTCTTGAGGTCTAGATGGTATTATGCACTCATTTTATTGACCTTGGAAGAATAAAAGACTGAACTGACCTTACTTGGAACTGAAACGACTCATTGCTAGAGTCAAAAAACACCCCAGGCTTGAGCTCAAGAATAATTTGGTGACCCCTTAATAAAGCACCACCCCTGGCCTTTCCAATTCCAACACTTAACACCCCTCTTGGCACATTCACAGTTACTTACAGACACAGTTTGATAAACATACACAAACATGGACACAGACATGCAACACACAGGCACAGACACACACATAGACAAGCACGCACACATACACATAAACAGAAAGGTACAGATAGGCACACTCAGACAGGTAGATGTAGGCAAAAACAGGCACAGATATACACAGGTAGGTACACACAGACACAGACAGGCACAGACAGGCAAACAAAAAAGCATAGAGTCATATATATATGTACAGTAGCGTATCAAAGAAGTCCACAGCTATAAAACAATGAATAAAGTGAATTTTGTATGTCATTATCACTAAGTTCCACTATAATACACCTAATTTCTGGTGACTTGTCTCCATAAAGGACATACCAAATGGACAGAGGCAGGAAATGGTATTGTGAATGCATTTGAATGATATTCCTGCCATTGTGTGTATTTAATGGGGCTGTGGAAGGTGTAGTGTGTGTGATCTTTGTTTTGTGTTTGTATTGTAGTATACATGTCTAGGGGCTGTAGAGAGAGTGTGTGTGCATAAAGGGTGTAGTGTGTGTTTATAGAGGAGGCAGTGCATGTTTTGGATGCAATGTATATATAGTGGATCTAGTGTGTGTATAGGATGTATTGTTTTTGCAGATGATGCAATGTGTCACCAGACACACATGTAGTGTGCATGTTAGAAATATATTGTGTGTGTGACGATGATTCATTGTGTGTGCAAGGGATGGAGTGTGTGTACTGGTGATGCAGTGTGAATGTAGGGGATACAGGGTGTGTGAGTTGGGCTTTGTAGTGTGTGTGTCTGTTCTGGGGATGTGTAAGTGACTTAAATTTTGTATATATAAAAAAATATATTTAGATTGGTTTTCTCATCTTTCCTGGGAGAGAGAGGGGAGGTGTGTGTTCCTCATGCGTAGGTCCTCTACCAGAGGGGTTCTGTGCAGTATCTTATCTGTTCCAAGAACTGCACTCGTCTGGACAGCAATCTCAGATGTCCCACCTGGAATCTGCTGAAGCCACTACACAACTTAGGGGTCACAGCCCTGAGTGCTACTATCACAACTGAGACTACTATCGCCTTCACTTTCCACATCCTTTCTAGCTCTGTCTTTCAGTCCTTAGTATTTGTCGACCTTCTCATGTTCTTTCTTCCTGATGTTATAGTTACTGGGTATTGCCACATCCACCATCACTGTAGTCTTCTGTTCCTTGTCTGCTACCATAATGTCAGGTTGGTTGGCCACTGCTTGCTAGTCTGTCTGGATCTGAAAGTTCAACAGGATCTTAGTCATGTCATTCTCAACTACCCTTTCTGATATCTTCCAATATTTTTCATCTGGACTTAAGTAGGTAAGGCCCATATTCTATGCAGATATTATGGTACACAATCCCAGCAACTTGGTTGTGCCTCTCAGTGCATGCTGTCACTGCTAATATCTTGTAAAATGTTGTTAAAAAAGTACAGCTTAATTCCCTCTATCCCTGATGGTTCAGTGTGGAGAGACTCTGGTCTCTCTCTCTGCTGGAAGCACATCTTGTGTAATGGCTCTTGCAAGCTCCAGGCTCACAGTATCAGAGAGTTGCCATGGTAACCTGTGGAAATGCGCTACACTGCCAGGAGCTTGCATTAGCCATATACCAGGTTGGCATCCTTCAGAGGGAGAGAGGGTGCAGTCAGATAGTGATGAAGATTCTTGGTCCATAACCCCTTAAGGACACATGACATGTGTGACATGTCATGATTCCATTTTATTCCAGAAGTTTGGTCCTTAAGGGGATAAAGACACCCCTCTGCATGGGCCAGTGTGCCATGTTTTAAGGTAGTACTAGGCCTGCAGATGGGGGGGAAAAAGATATAAGGCTATAGGGTCCTACATTTGGGGCTCCAGTCCTCTCAGTCAATGCCTCTGGTGGCTGGAGTCCTAATCACTGAGCTATCTCATTAATAGCCAGTATTAATAATATAGTTTAAAGTGGGGACAATGTTAATTTTTAAACTATCCAAATCATCAAGGAACTCTGTTAAGCTACAAGCAGCTTGAATTTAGCTTTAAATTTAATTTAGGATGATTTTTAATTTTAAACTATGATTTTAGCAATTTTAATCTATAGTCCATTAACCAGAAAACACAAACAGTAGACAGTAGACTTGTGCACAATGAAAACAGTTGCCACGTCTAAATCAATTCATCAAACAAAAAAAACAAAAATGGGGAGGTGGGAAATTTTTCACCCATGTGGCGTTTTGGTTAAAACAGATTCGGACAAACCAAAAAGGCACAAAACTTGGCCAATTAGTTTACTGTAAAATTTAAATAAGATGTATTTACTTTACATTACACTGATTTGTGCATTGCCACACAATTTGGTTTATAGATCAAGAAAGAAGAGATAACTGAGAAGCAGCAAACATGTCTATAGTTATATATTAAGTAATTATCAAAACTGCTACCTATCTAGCCTTTAACGGCTTTCTCAGGCCAAAACAATAACTCACTATCAGCGGCCAACATCATAAACAAGAGTGCCTGTTGACCTCTTATCTTCTAAAACACACAGACCACTATGTCCGGTCCCTTCCTAAAACTAAGATGAGTCAGAGGGCCGAGCTAGTGCATATAACCTACTACCTTACAAGCAATGCTGGGTGCCCAGTTAAGGTACTGATTACGTTCTTGGGCACGCCACCATACACACCACTGAACCATTACTGTCGCTGTACGATACTGTCCTTACCACAGTTCATGCACTATGTCCACCTACTCATTCACCGGGCTCGAACTAAACCCTAGCGACTACTTTAGGATAGGAGCAGCCTATAGCCAAGACATACCCGCACACGTTAAGACACGGGGCCGTTGGGAATCATAGGCTTATGCGATTTACATACCACAGCCGATTCAGGAATTAGGAAGCTTTCATTAAAATGTCTAACTGATGGTTAACAAATGCACTACGATCCTGTATAATGTTTTGCATTAATATGTCTCTTTTTGCCCACTTTTTACCGGCCTACAGCATACGTCGGTTTCGGCACACCTCAACCGATTATTCCTAAAGCTACATCTCTACAACCCATCTTATTCTATATCATATGAGAATGCCCCGAACACAAATTGGAAGGCATGGCCTGAAGTTGTGGGAGGGGCTATAGACCTATAAAAGGGACTCCCCCCTTTCCCTACTTACCTTTGTTGGTCAGATGAATAGCCCCACCCTCCACTCCATTGTTCATATTTCCTCTATGTAAGCCCACTTTTTACCGGCCTACAGCATACGTCGGTTTCGGCACACCTCAACCGATTATTCCTAAAGCTACATCTCTACGACCCATCTTATTCTATATCATATGAGAATGCCCCGAACACAAATAATATATAAATAAAGATTTTTATCTTTAATTTAAAAAAAATAAAATAATAACTCCTCCCCTACATGACTCAGAGAGCGCACATGCACTCTGAGCTAGTAGGACGGTCCACTCAAATGCTTCTGTATGAGTGGGCAGCAATGACATTTACAGGGGTCATGGAAATCAGCTCAGGGATCGTCGACCAGCACTGAATTCCAGGTCTCTATTTTATTTGCAAGATTAAAGGGGAGACTAGCTAGTAATGTCCTGAAGGGTATTGTTAACGTAAAAATGCTTTATATAAAGAGTTAGAGTAAGCCGTTAAGTCTCAGAAAGCAAAATGTCATAATAAGTCAGGCAAAAAAAAGGGGTTAAAGACAAGACAGCTGGAAAAAAACATTAGGCTCCATGTCGATGTAATGACTATGTTGGTTATCATTGTTAATCTGACAGACAGACAGCCTTTCACTAAACCTGTATGCTTTATATATGTTACTATTGTAAATGCACAATAATAAATTGCAGTGAAAGCAGGATTAATTAGACATTTATCCCTGGATGTTTAGCTGTAACTTTAGACCCACTAATGAGACATATCTGAGATTTCCCTGAGATAGAAGTTGTGATGTTTTTTTCTTACTAAATACATACTTTGTAGCAAATGTAACAGAAAGTATCAAGAACTTGTGACATCAAGCACTAATACTCAGATTTTTTTCCTTTTTTAATTTTTTTAATTCTATTTTGTTGTGCTTAGGATAGCAAACAGGCTTACTTCGCCACGACAGCTGAAGCAAGCAATGCAGTAACAATCATTTTCATGGCATATCAAACAGAACATTTTTATGTTATAGAGAAAGCAAGTTAAGAACATCAGTTTACATCACAAGACCTGCTTTTAACAGTAAGTTAGGACGTACAGAGCTACGGCTAAGAAGGTCATAGACAAATAATAAGAATAGTTAGCAACGATTGTAAGACAAGAGTAGACCCCCAGGGAGGTCCCAGGCTGGTGACAGAGCATGGGGCAATAATATCATGCTATGTAGGGTTCAGTAATGGCAGCGAAGGGGGTTAACTTCCATATAATAGACAGCGGGCCTAAAGGTACATTTGCTTGGCAGCTGGGTAATTTACACGTTTTTATGGAAACCTTAAGAAAACAATCAGCAAACCTGACTCGCCTCTGCTTGAAACTACATGGTATTATTATACTGCATAGTGGCTAAGCCATGCATAATGACGATGTTTTAGTTAAGTATCTATGTCTACATTCAGGAAAGAAACAATTCCAATATGCATGAAACACTTTAGGCATGGAGAACTGTGCATTATATAGTATATGAGATGGAGAACGGGCTAGGTCTACTCGATGACGGTTACTAACACAGCTAAAGGTTTCACCTCACTACTGCTCCTTGCACAATGAGAGCTTTAAAAAAAACCACAAGAGCATGGCATAAAAATGAAAATTGGTGTAAAACAGATCTAATGGTGGCAATTTAAAACTTTTGAAGCTTAAATATCAGAAAGTCACCAGTCAGACGATTCCCATGTTAGGGAAGATCCAGGAGTGTGCTGATGGGCATCCCTGACATAGTATCAAAGGCTGGTATTGCATGCCGCTAATGTATTTCCTGTATTTCTGTATCACGGCAAAGTAGTGCAGATCTCTGTGCCCAAGTGTCAGTAGAAGGGGCAGCTTGTCAAGTCCGGAGCCGTTGTGGAGTAGGATTTCGCAGCCCTCTGGACCCAGGCAATGTCAGGTGGTGTGAATGAGCCAGTCGATTTATGCTGCTCTGGTGCGCCTTGCATCTTCGTCTCATTTAGGTTTTTACCCTCCTGTGCTGGGGTCGAGTGTGCAGCTTGGTCTGCTGTCATAATGAGGCCTGTCCTGTGTGCAGGATCTGTGGGGCGTTCTGCCAGGTTGAAGGCTGCTTCTTGGGTACCACCTGCTTGGCTGCCGCGAGACAAGTGGCTGTGTCCTGCTTTCCAGCTTGCGACAGTAACTGGCAATTAGTGCGTCCAGCTTTTGTAGGACTCCATGCTTTGAGTCAGTAGGGTCGGGGCGACACGTGGCGTCTGCCATGATGGGTGCTGCACTGGGTCGAAGGTGTTTTGGTGGTGCTTCGCCTTGTGCTCCCTCTATTACAGGTTTGCCTCCCTTGGGTGGACCACGATCACCCCCGTAGGTCTGGGGGGGGGTAACAAGGCTCTTGCCTGTCGTGAGTCGGCATCACGCAGTGCCAGACCGGGAGATCGGCTGCCTCTCCCGCCCGACACACGCTAGGCCTCATGCTGTGAGGAGTGTAGCCAGCAGGCGTCAGGAGGGCACAGTCCACTGTGTCGGATCCCTGCCCAATCGTGGGTCAGGTAAGTTGAGTTCTGTCGCCAAGTTTAGGTTTAGTTGGGCTAGAAGTGCCACCAATCACCCTGTTTTCAGAGGAGCTCTGCTAAAGCATGTCTGTCCTCCATGCTATTCAGACTCCGCCCCCCTTTTTAATTTTTTTTGTCTATGTGCCTCTTCAGGAATGAATTGCCCCCAATGTTTTGCTAAAATATATTTAATTTACTGCATAATCATTTTCAAAAACCTGAAAATATGCATAATTTAGGAGTATGTTTAATTTGTATATTATATGTTCTTCTATATACGTATTTTTCCTTTCTTTTTCATACCATCTTCTTAAAACAATAGAAACAATGGAACTTGCTTTAAGAAGTGAAATTCAAATGACACATTGTAATATAGAAAATATATTTGCCGTCACAATTATGCATTGCCATAAGAAAAGAAAGCAAACTTTCTGAAAATCTGAGATTGCAACTGTATTTCTAAGATCTTTGTGAACAAATTTAACATCACTAAACAATTTTAATATGTTTTGGTTCTAGATAAAGTATTCTAGAAATGTATTTCTCTCTGAATCTAGTTCTTCTGTTTCTAACTCATATTGTTTCACTGTAACAAAATATCTTATGAATGTCTCTCCCAAGGCTGCAGTTATATATGTGTCTTCTTCCAATGAGGAAAGGGCATCTTCTAGTTTCAGTGGTACAGTAGACAACTTATCTAGATTACAGTTGCTATTTGCACCATTAAAAAAGTTAAGATTCCTCTTTATTCCATCCAAACCTGCAGCAATAGTGGCAGCAAGTACTAAATATGGATTTGCTGTGGCTGAACCTAACTTGTTTTCTATGTATGTGCCCTTGGAGCCATGACATTTAATATTGTATACACATCTATTATCGTTTGATCCCCAAGTAGCACAGATACGGTCTTGGGAATCCTTCACATCTTTAGAAAAATGTTTACGTCTGCTAACTCCAGGTGCAACTAAGCAGCTTATGGCAGCGGCATGAGTAAGCAGACCAGATAACCATTTTTTGCCAATCTCCGTAAGATCTTCAGTTTGACAGTCACTGGAAAATAAGTTTTTAGTTCCATTTGCATTCCACAGACAATGTGATAGAAGCCCAGAATTATAGAACCCTTCAGTGTCAGCGTGGAAGCTTGCTATATAGCCATGTTTCTTAGCTATTTCTTTTAAGCCAGTCCTAAAAGTGAATGCATTGTCAGCACATGTCAAACCATACTCAGGTTGAAAGGAAATCTCCATTTGTCCAGGCCCGCTGGAAGATGAAAAGCTCTCTATGCTCCCCCCTGTATAATACATTCCATCAAAAAGTTCTTGCATGAATAATTGGTCATGATCGGTTAGCAAGGTTGCAGCAGGAAAAGCTATTGACTTGGAATTTATAATATCAGCAACACCAAAAGCACAAAACTCGTAAGTGAAAGCAGAATGCAGAGAAAATCCACTTTCTTGCAGCTGATTAAGCATTTGTTTAGCTAGATACCTTGGTGAGGTTAAAAGAGGATTTCCTGAAATTGTATAAGTATCACAGATTACCCTGCCAGTTTTTTCTAACCAGGGTAGGATTCTGAAAGTTGTTAGATCTGGTTTCAGCCTAATATCACTGTTAGACTGTCCTGCATTTATGTTGTCCATTTCAACATCTCTTGGATTCTTAATTAATTCAAGATGACCTCTTGGCATGTAGATGCCATTCACTGTTTTTTCCTGTATTGGGAAGGATAAAACATGGTTTAGAGAGAGTTGCTGAGCTATATATTTATATGTGTATACATATTTGTGAAAAAGCAAGTCTTCATAATCGAACAATCTATCTCTATATTCATGTGTCAAACTGTAAGTCAAGCTACTAATCTATCTACCTGACCTTGTGTCTGTCTGCATGTATATGTAATTCTACCTATATACAAATGTTTTACATAAATGATGGCGTTTCCATGTTTTGTAGCGTTACAAAATGGAATTAAGATAGATTTTATTGAATTGTTTTCAGTTTGCTTTACACAATATTCCTAACACATTTAAGTGCAAAATATATTTATTAAAAGTTAGTTAAACATGGACAAAACAAATATTGCTTGCATAGTATTACCCTTGTTGTTATGAAGCCCCTACAATTTATAAACAACCAATTACATTCAGAAGTGGCATAATAATTGAATTAGGGCCATCTGTGTGGTTAAAGTATCAAACAATCTCAAAATAAATGCAACTGTTTCTGGAAGAAATCGTGAAGACTTGTGGGTTTCAAAATTAGGCCTCAGTTTCATTTGTTTGGATCAGCTTCATAAATTATCTTAAATCTGTTAGAATAACATTTCAAATGATTTATCTACAGAAGTCACCATTAAAGTCTATGGGAATTTTACAGATAAATCATTATCATCATCATCATCATCATTTTTTTAACATATTGTGATCATTTATGACATTGATCCAAACAAATTAAATCAAGGCCTTAGTCAGGAATAATGATTTGGAGAAGCATCAATTACAGTTGGGTTGCAACAAATATTCTAAACTCTGGAGTACTAAATAAGCCATTATAAAAAGATTTTTAAAATAGTAGACACCACAGTGTATCAGTATTTTGATCTTATTTGCGAATATTTTTTGTAGTACGAGGCAGTTTCTGAAACGTAAGAAGACATTACCCACAATGTGCATTCATCATTAAAGCACTCTTCTAGATGAATTCTTCTATGTTCATACCCCATGCACATTGGGGTGGTGGTATGTTGGAACTGCTTTTCTTACATTTTCTCTGCATGAATGTAGTTAAATTATAGTCCATTAGGTCCTTTATCCTCCAGACTACTGAAGCTGCCCACACCCAATATTATGGACATCACATGTGGGTGTTTCTACCCTCTGCCATTGATAATGCTATAACATATTTCCCCCAAATGTTAGAGAGGTGTTCATGCATTGTCACCAACAATCCCATTTATTTCACGGAACGTGTTTTCTGACAGCACTCTTTAACAAGTCAGCTGTCATACAGCATTATTTAACATCTAATCAGCATCAGGAGGTATTTCAAGGTCAGTTCAAGAAGTGAAGTCTGTAAATTTGTTATACATAGTGACTCATATTATTTTGTAATAAAGTACTATAAAGGTTAGATAAGACATTTTGTTGGATTTTCTATTTATTGAGTGTTAATAAACCTAAGTACATAATTTACTGTCTGTAACCCATAAAGTATAGTCACTAATATTTCAAAATCATCCTGGTAGGAAATATAAGAATTACATTATTTGTGTAGTTGATGTATTAGTCTGCCTTGTAAATTAGTAATATGTTATATTACACTACCATTTTACATGGTATATTTGTTTTCTTGATAACACAATTAATAGATTTTCAGTTAATCAAAGCATATATGTATATAACAATTTCTATATTACAGTTTGTAATATCCTTTTAAAATATACATTTTCTTGGTTATTTATTGAGCATTGTGTGCTGCCAAATTTTCAACTTGGGAAATTATCATCTAATGATTTAACAAGTCAATGAGCACCAAACATACATACATTCATGTCCATTTTTTTTTATATGTATTTCATATTGTGAGTGCAATATTGCTTCTTATTTGACTCCATCTTATTTTGAATTTCACCATATTATGCTTACATGATCTTTTAAACTGTTCCAAAAGAAACCAAGCTTACTGCATTCCAGAGATGTGTTCTTGAGGATGGGTTGTGAGTGTATATAGAAGGCCTTAGGGTATGGTAGAATTGTGAAATACATGCAGGTTATCTTTGTTTCTCTCATGCACTTGTTCATTATGTATTTGGCTATAGGGAATTCTGTTCTGGTTTTATGTCCAAAACAAAGGCCACCTGTCCTGTTGCATGACTTTACCTGGTTAGAGTTGGGAATTCCTAGTTTCAAGATGCTTAATTTAGATACGTATACCTAACTTGTTAATTAGCAACCTCTAACTTAAAGACTTTACCTAATACACGTACACACTCACTTTTCTGATATTGCATGGGGACGATCAACGTCAGTTGTAACAAACTGTATAAACTGTCTGTTTGAAAATTATTTTTGAGAGATCACTTGCATCTCCAATCTTGATAATTTTGTAAATATTGTCACTAAACTTACTTAACACCTTAAGGACAAAGGGAATTGTACAAGTTCTGATCAAAACAAAATCAAGACAATCCCTGATATTTGAGTTTATGTCTGTTCAACTATAATTCACCTCTTTCATATTAAGTGCACCCACACTTATTATACAGTGGTACCTTAGTTTACGAATTTAATGCATTCTCCGGGACATTTCTTATTGCAAAAAATTTGTTATTCAAAACACGGTTTCCCAAAAGAATGCATTGAAAAGCATTCTCCGGAGGTCAGAAAAAAGTCAAAATGAGCTGGCATGGAAACCAACCCACAATGCAGAACACACAAAAGGCATGCAAACGACAAAGCTCAGCTCCCTACCTTTCCACCGTTTGAGAAATGCACCAAAAAAGTTCCAAAAAGTCCCAAAACCACTGCAAAAGAATTCCAGAATTGCTCCAAAACCCACTGCAAAAACTGCTCCAACACCTCCAACACCTCATGCTACCCTCAGACTCCAGCATGCATGGGGGCAGCGCTATAAACCTCCCAGATGCAATGCATCCTGGGGAAACTTGCTTTTTATTGCGAAGAAAATTGGTAAACCAAGGCTTTATTTTCAATAGATTTTCATTTGTTAACCGAAAATTATGTTAACTGAGGCGTTTGTAAACCGAGGTACCACTGTATCATTTTGTTCAGAAGAAACAGGGATTTCATTTCACATCAAATATTTATATATGAAACATAATTTCATGGGAATAAAAACTAAAAATGTGGGATAAATTAAGAAATGTTGTTATTTTCTATGTTCCGCATGGCATTTTAACTGTGAATGTCATAATACGGTTAGCTTTTACTGCAATAAAATACACATATTTGTATTTAGCTATGTCTCACGAGCACAAGAGTAACCCCCATGTACAGGTTTTATGGAGTTTTGGAAAGTTACAGGGTCAAATATAGCACATTTCCCTTTCCAGTTTTTGCACATTGAATTTTACTTTATTGGTTATGTTGCGTTTGAGAACGTATGGCAGTCCAGTCATGAAAATGTCCCCTATTATGGCACAGCATTTGGAAAAGTAGACAACACAAGGTATTCAAAATGGGGTTTGTCCAGTCTTTCCTAGTGGCCACTTAGTCACAAACACTGGCCAAAGTTAGCGATCATATTTTTTTGAATTTTTCACAAATAAACTGCCCTTTCACTGATGATAGCATTAGCATTATATGTTCTAGTGCTCTAAAACTCTCAAATTTGTGTTCAGTAATGTCTCACGAGTAAAACAGTACATCTCACGTACAGGTTTTATGGTTTTGTGGAACGTTACAGGATTAAATATAGGGCTTTCAAATTAAATTCTCTTTCTGCCTGGGTTGTCAGACAGGTCCCTCAAATTGTAATTCGTAAAATCAAATAATTATGTAAAAAGATTACATAAATATACATTTAGAATCTAAATATACATAATTATATATTTAAAGTCTACGTGTATATTTATGTCATTATACATACTGTATATATAAATAGGTTATGGTGGGGAAAAATTGTGATTGAAAACCCCTTCCACCTGAAGTCTGTTGATAGTTAATACAATGTTAAACAAAAATGTGCACACCAGTCAAGCCATAAGAATTGCTTTTCCCACAGAAATACCTAATCGGCAGTGATGTTACAACCGCAAAGGATTCTGGGTGGGCATATGCAAATTAGTTTAACAAAGAATCACATTTTTGCCTCATTCCATTTTAAACATGGATTCCTTTTAATCTGTGTTTGCAGTATACAATTGCTTGGAACACAATTTAGGAAAAGATGCAAAACCAGTGAACCACTCATGGACAGCTGTTTCGTTGTTAATGCAACTCATCAGGATGAGGTTGGTTACTGGTTTGCTTATTGAGTCTTGGTAGTGCTTGGGAAGCAAAATCCAAATAAGTTATGGTGGGGAAAAATTGTGATTGAAAACCCCTTCCACCTGAAGTCTGTGGATAGTTAATGCAATGTTAAACAAAAATCTGCACACCAGTCAAGCCATAAGACTTGCCTTTCCCACAGAAATCCCAAACATGCAGTGATGTTACAACCGCAAAGGATTCTGGGTGGGCATATGCAAATTAGTTTAACAAAAAATCACATTTTTGCCTCATTCCATTTTTAACATGGATTCCTTTTAATCTGTGTTTGCAGTATACAACTGCTTGGAACACAATTAAGGAATTGTGTTCCAAGCAGTTGGAATTGTGTCTATATATATATATATATATATATATATATATATATACACATATATATACACATATATATATATATATATATATATATATATATACAGGGAGTGCAGAATTATTAGGCAAATGAGTATTTTGACCACATCATCCTCTTTATGCATGTTGTCTTACTCCAAGCTGTATAGGCTCGAAAGCCTACTACCAATTAAGCATATTAGGTGATGTGCATCTCTGTAATGAGAAGGTGTGTGGTCTAATGACATCAACACCCTATTTCAGGTGTGCATAATTATTAGGCAACTTCCTTTCCTTTGGCAAAATGGGTCAAAAGAAGGACTTGACAGGCTCAGAAAAGTCAAAAATAGTGAGATATCTTGCAGAGGGATGCAGCACTCTTAAAATTGCAAAGCTTCTGAAGCGTGATCATCGAACAATCAAGCGTTTCATTCAAAATAGTCAACAGGGTCGCAAGAAGCGTGTGGAAAAACCAAGCGCAAAATAACTGCCCATGAACTGAGAAAAGTCAAGCGTGCAGCTGCCACGATGCCACTTGCCACCAGTTTGGCCATATTTCAGAGCTGCAACATCACTGGAGTGCCCAAAAGCACAAGGTGTGCAATACTCAGAGACATGGCCAAGGTAAGAAAGGCTGAAAGGCGACCACCACTGAACAAGACACACAAGCTGAAACGTCAAGACTGGGCCAAGAAATATCTCAAGAATGATTTTTCTAAGGTTTTATGGACTGATGAAATGAGAGTGAGTCTTGATGGGCCAGATGGATGGGCCCGTGGCTGGATTGGTAAAGGGCAGAGAGCTCCAGTCCGACTCAGACGCCAGCAAGGTGGAGGTGGAGTACTGGTTTGGGCTGGTATCATCAAAGATGAGCTTGTGGGGCCTTTTCGGGTTGAGGATGGAGTCAAGCTCAACTCCCAGTCCTACTGCCAGTTCCTGGAAGACACCTTCTTCAAGCAGTGGTACAGGAAGAAGTCTGCATCCTTCAAGAAAAACATGATTTTCATGCAGGACAATGCTCCATCACACGCGTCCAAGTACTCCACAGCGTGGCTGGCAAGAAAGGGTATAAAAGAAGAAAATCTAATGACATGGCCTCCTTGTTCACCTGATCTGAACCCCATTGAGAACCTGTGGTCCATCATCAAATGTGAGATTTACAAGGAGGGAAAACAGTACACCTCTCTGAACAGTGTCTGGGAGGCTGTGGTTGCTGCTGCACGCAATGTTGATGGTGAACAGATCAAAACACTGACAGAATCCATGGATGGCAGGCTTTTGAGTGTCCTTGCAAAGAAAGGTGGCTATACTGGTCACTGATTTGTTTTTGTTTTGTTTTTGAATGTCAGAAATGCATATTTGTGAATGTTGAGATGTTATATTGGTTTCACTGGTAATAATAAATAATTGAAATGGGTATATATTTGTTTTTTGTTAAGTTGCCTAATAATTATGCACAGTAATAGTCACCTGCACACACAGATATCCCCCTAACATAGCTATAACTAAAAACAAACTAAAAACTACTTCCAAAAATATTCAGCTTTGATATTAATGAGTTTTTTGGGTTCATTGAGAACATGGTTGTTGTTCAATAATAAAATTAATCCTCAAAAATACAACTTGCCTAATAATTCTGCACTCCCTGTATATATATATATATATATAAATAATTTTAAATAATTTTTATTTATTTTTACATATATATGAATAATATATATAATGTAATGCTATGTGTGTTTTGATAGGAATATATATATATATATATATATATATATATATGAATCTAAAAAAACAGTTAGAATAAAATTACATATATAAATATACAGTGAGGGGAAAAAGTATTTGATCCCCTGTTGATTCTAAATGTTTACCCACTGACAAAGAAAGGATCAGTCTATAATTTTAATGGTAGGTGTATTTTAACAATGAGAGACAGACTAACAAAAAAAATCCAGAAAAACACATGTCAAAAAAATTATAAAATTTATTTGCATGTCAATGAGTGAAATAAGTATTTGACCACTTCAACTTAGTACTTGGTGGCAAAACCTTTGTTGGCAATAACCGAGATCAGACGTTTCTTGTATTTGGCCACTAGGTTTGCACACATCTCATGTGTTTTGGGTCATTGTCATGCTGGAATACCCACCCACGACCCATTTTCAATGCCCTGGCTGAGAGAAGGAGGTTCTCACCCAAGATTTGATGGTACATGGTCCCTTTGATGCAGTGCAGTTGTCCTGTCCCCGTAGCAGAACCCCCCAAAGCATAATGTTTCCACATCCATGTTTGACAGTGGGGATGGTCTTCTTGGGGTCATAGGCAGCATTCCTCTGCCTTCAAACACAGCGAGTTGAGTTAATGCCAAAGAGTTCGAATTTGGTCTCATCTGACCACAACACTTTCACTCAGTTCTCCTCTGAATAATTCAGATGTTCTTTGGCCTGTACATGTGTTTTTTTTAGCAGGAGGACCTTGCGGGTGCTGCAGGACTTCAGTCCTTCACAGCATAGTGTGTTACCAATTGTTTTCTTGGTGACAATGGTCTCAGCTGCCTTGAGATCATTAACAAGATCCTCCCATGTAGTTCTGGGCTGATTCCTCACCATTGATTCCTCATGATCAACTGAAACTTCATGAGGTGAAATCTTGCTTGGAGCACCAGACCAAGGGAGACTGACAGTTATTTTGTGTTTCTTTCATTTGCGAATAAACCCACCAACTGTTGTCACCTTCTAACCAAGCTTCTTGGTGATGGCCTTGTAGCCTATTCCAGCCTTGTGTAGGTCTACAATCTTGTCCCTGACATCCTTGGACAGCTCTTTGGTCTTGGCCATGGTGGAGAGATTGGAATCTGATTGATTGCTTCTGTGGACAGATGTCTTTTATACAGGTAACAAAATGAGATTAGGGGCACTTCCTTTAAGAGAGTGCTCCTAATCTCGGCTCGTTACCTGTATAAAAGACACCTGGGAGCCAGAAATCTTGCTGATTGATAGGGGATCAAATACTTATTTCACTTATTGGCATGCAAACCAATTTATACCTTTTTGGACATGCGTTTTTCTGGATTTTTTGTTGTTGTTATTCTGTCTCTCACTGTTAAAATACGCCTACCATTAAAATTATAGACTAATCATTTATTTTGTCAGTGTGCAAACGTTGAAAATCAGCAAGGAATCAAATACTTTTTTCCCTCACTGTATATATTTAATATAATTTATTTATATAAATGCATGTATTTTTTGTATTTATATATTTTGCATTTTTTATTCATTTATATACAGTATATATGTGTGTGTATATATATATATATATATATATATATATACACATATTTATATATATATGTACTTTCATTGAAAGTGTACTCTTATATTATTAATATATATATATATGCATATATATCTTTTATAAATATTTATATATATAAATATATACATATATAATATTTAGGAGTACTGATTTTAATTTTGTAATGCACTGCTTAGTTGATGGGGGACTGTGAGAGCGATTACATGGCCCACAGGCGCCTGATTCAGCAGGGGAGGGAATGTTTGGGATATCAGGCAATCCTCCTGAGCTGATTGTGGTGGAGGTAAGTGTCTTGCAGGCTCTGGAGCTGAAAGCCATTAGGCATTCCATGCCACTACAAAGGCTTTAAAACCCATTAAATGCAGGACGGTATGGAACGTGTTATGAGGTTAATCATCAAAAGAGAAAATTTCAGACTCAAATTTAACAATATGTTATTAGAATATTGTATAGTGTAGATAGAGTGCCCCTTTTACATGGCACCACCCCTGCCAATGGAGAGAATACACTGGGCAAGAATTTCTAAAAATAATAAATACTACAACGCTTGTTAAAAAATTGCATTAGAGGTGCATAAAAAAGTACATTAAAAAAGTGTACAAAAATATTTGCCTTATCATTTGTCCAATATCTGTTTTTAGCACTTTTCTGAAAGGGACACTAAAGTCACTCAGACCACTTCATCTCAATGAAGTGGATGCAGTGGTCTTGTCCTTTTAACTCTGCAATGGGTTTTCCTAAAATGCAATGTTTACAATGTAGTGTTAAATCCACCTCTAGTGGCTGTCTTCCTTACAGCCACTGGATGAGAGTCAACTTCACTGACAAAATAAAACCCAAACACATGACACGGAAGCTCGTAGGAAAACATTGAATACAATGAATGCTATGACACACATCAGGTGCCCAATGCGCCTCTATCAGGAGCAATGGATTGGTCCATCAGAAGGCCATCTTCAATTATTGCACATGGTGGTGAGGGGGTGCCTGTATATGACTAGTGACAGAGGCACTATAGCATTTACAGGTTTGTTTTCCTATACAGGTTTGCATTCCTAACAAGTTAGTGTTCCTTTAACCCCTTCAGGACGGAGTCAATAGTACACGTTCTGATCAAAACAAAACATAAACAAAAACTGGAATTTGCGCTATATGTCTGTTCAACCGTTATTCACCTCTTTCATATTAAATACACCCACACTTATAATATATCATTTTGTTCAGGAGAAACAGGCCTTTCATTTCACATCAAACATTTAGCTATGAAACATAATTTATTATGAATAAAATTAAAAAAACTGTGAGAAAGTATAAATTTTTTTAAAAATTTGTAGTTCCGCCTCACATTTTAGCTGTGAATGTCATAATACTGTTAGGCTTTACTGCAGAAAAAATGCACATATTTGTAATCAGCGATGTCTCACGAGTACAACAGTACCCCCCATTAACAGGTTTTATGGTTTTTTGGAAAGTTACAGGGTCAAATATAGAACGTTCCATTTTCAAACTGAAATTTGCCAGATTAGTAATGTTACCTTTGAGACGGTGTGGTAGCCCAGGAATGAGAATTACCCCCATAATGACATACCATTTGAAAATGTAGACAAGCCAAGGTATTGAAAGTGGGGTATGTTTAGTTTCTTTTAGTAGCCACTTAGTCACAAACACTGGCCAAAGTTAGCGTTCATATTTATTTTTGTGTGAAAAAAGCAAAAAACTAATATTTGGCCAGTGTTTGTGACTAAGTGGCTACTAAGAAAGACTGGACATACCCCACTTGCAATACCTCTACTTTTGCAAATGATATGCCATCATGGGGGTAATTCTCATTCCTGGGCTACCATACGCTCTCAAAGGCAACATAACCAATCTGGAAAATTTCAATGTCAAAAAAATGAAATGCAAGTCTTATATGTGACTCTCTAACATTCCAAAACACCATAAAACCTGTGCCTGGGGGTTACTGTTATTCTCGGGAGACGTCACTAAACACAAATATTAGTGTTTTAAAACAGTAAAACATATTACAACAATAATATAGTTCATAAAAGTGCAGTTCGTTTGTAAAAAATGAAAAAAACTTAACTTTTACTTAAAATATCATCATTGTAATACAATTTACCAGTTTTAAACACTAATATTTGAGTTCAGCGAAGTCTCCCGAGTAAAACAGTACCCCCTATGTACAGGTTTTATGGTGTCTTGGAGAGTTACAGGGTCAAATATAGTGCTTGCAAATTAAATTCTCTGCACTTTCTCCCTGTGTTGTCAGGCATGTCAATCAAATTTTAATTAATCAAATCACATAATTATGTTAAAAGATTACTTAAATATACACGTAGAGTTTTAATATATATGCATTTATAGGTATTTAAATTCTACGTGTATACTAATGTAATCTTTTATGTAATTATATGTATTTATTTATATATATATATATATATATATATATATATCTGCGGTTATTTGTATTTTATATATAGATATAGATAGAGATATACATATATATATATATATATATATATATATATATATATATATAAAAATATATATATATATATATATATATATAGATATATATATATATAGAATGTCATTCTAAGTGTATTTTGTTACCAATATATATATATATATTAATAACAAAACAAAATACAGTTAGAATGAAATTACATATGAATATATAATTTATATTAAATTTTGTTTCAATATTTTATTTATTTATTTTATTATTTTTATTTATTTATTATTGTAATTATACGTATATATATATATATATATATATATATATATATATAATATGTGTATATATCTATTATATATATATAATATATATATATTATATATATATGTAACGTCATTCTAAGTGTATTTTAATATTAATATTTATACTAATATTAGTATTAAAATACACTTTGTATGACCTTACATGTATATAATATTATATATATAAAAATACTTTCCCACCAGCAGGGGGACTGTCTGATTTTTCAGACAGTCCCCCTGCTGGCAGATCCACAGCCAGCTATAGGGCGCCATGTGATCGCTCTTTGACCTTGACACTCCATGAAGGTCTTTGAGAGCGATCACATGGCACCTGGGGGCCTAATTTGCCAGGGGTGGGCTGTCTGGGCTGTCAGGCAGCCCTCCAGAAGAGGATCGCGGCGGAGATAAGTAAATCTTACCTCCCCTGGGCTTAAGCCGTTACGGCATTCTATGCCGCCGCAACAGCTTTAAAGCCCTTTAAAGCCGTGACGGCATAGAACGCCGTAACGGTGTTAAGGGGTTCATATCTATAACTAGGATAGCATGTTTACACTTACATGGAAAAGACGTGAAGGAATTATCTTTGACCTTGACACTCCATGAAGGTCAGCAGCTTCAAATCTTACAAAGCGTATATCTTCTCTAGCAATCTGTTGCTTAACATTTTCAACAAGAGTTATCAAATGAAGAGAGTTTTGAATTCCACTGTCACATGAATTAAGATCCTTCTCGCTGAAATACTTACATTCTGAAAGACAATAGCCATAAGTTAAATAATTTTGTAGTAAACAATTATTCCTATACTAGGTATAACTTTTATGTATGATGTTTTTGCTCCAAAATGTTATACATTAGTGTAGAACATTAATGTAAAAAAATAAAATAAAATTACTGTGTCATACACAACGCATGTTGATTGCAGGTTCACGTGCAGCAGTGGCGAAACTACCGCCGGTGCAGCTGCACCAGGACCCGTCGGCTCAGAGGGCCCATCAGGTGACCTTAGGGCCACTTGATGGGCATCTTTGATTGGGGAACCAGTCAGGTGCCGCGGCCCTTTAGCAGCGCAACAGGGCCCTTTCGTGGTACAGTGCTGGGAGGAAGTGAGCACACATCACTTCCTCCCAGATTACCAAAGAGCCGCGCGGGGGAGATGACCAGAGAGGAAGGAGACGGAACTCCATGGCAGCAGGGATGGAGAGAATTGACCCAACTCTCATCACACACAGCCATCTGTCACTGGACTTCAGCTCTGTATATTATATGTGTTCTACTGTGCTATCTGTGATATCTGTATGTGTGTCAGTGTTTGTATCTGTATGAGTGTGATTGTGTGTAACTGTGTGTCTGTATCTGCATGTGTGTCAGTATGAGTCTGTATCTGTGTGTCTCTATATGTGTTAGTTAGTGTGTATGTCTGTATTTTAAGGTGTGTAAGTGTGTGTCTGTATTTGTATATGTGTTAGTGTGTGTCTGTGTATTTGCATGTGTGTCAGTGTGTGTATCTGTATGTCCGTGTATCTGAATGCATGTCAGTGTGTGTCTGTGTATCTGCATGTCTGCACCTGTGTATCTGTATGTGGGCCAGTGTTTGTATCTGTATGTGTGGCAGTGTGTGTATCTGCATGTGTGTTCGTGTTTATCTGTATATGTGTTAGTGTGTATTTGTATGTGTGTTAGTGTGTGTATCTGCATGTGTATCTGTGTATCTGCATGTGTGTCTGTATATATGTGTGTATGTGTATCAGTGTGTGTGTGTGTGTGTGTGTGGCAGTGTATATGTATATGAGTACACATCTCAACATTTAAACTTCAACACTACACACAAATACACCCCTGCATTCAAACTTCAACACTACAGACACACAACCCTGCATTCAAAACCAAACACTACACACAAGTAAACTACTACTTTCAAATGGCAACAGTACATAAAAACACACAACACAACACTACACACAAATACACCCATACATTCACACACATACTCCATATGAAAACAAGCTTACATTCAAATATACAAACACTGCTCACTGCCAAGTACAACCCTGCAAGGATGGGCAAATGGTAGATCCTCAGCTGACATAACATTGTGGGAGTTGTACGATAGATTGGAATCGCCCTTTTTGTCCATCCTTGCAATCTATACAGTGTATAGACAAAAGATGAATTTACCTAAAGTTTCGCTTTCTCCTCACCTGCCGTGGAGTTCTGAAATGGGCAGACGAACATTGAGTTGTTTATTAGTCCAACTTGGGTGTTGATTAGCTTAGGTGTAGTTGTCTCCACTGGTGATGTATTTTCCCTTTTTCCATCTCTACCCTACCCACTCTTCCTCCTGCAATCTCATCCTGGAAGCGTTACTTCCATGATGAGCATCCAATACAATGCTTTTCATATAGAGGAACTGGGGAGGAGTCGCACATGCATGGCTAGTCCCATGTGTACATCCTACCAAATGCTTCTCATTGGAAAGCATTGAATCCAATACTTCCATTTGAGCTGCATTTGATGTCCTTCTGGAGGTTGAATGTCACATAATCAATGCATCAAAAGCACATCTAGTGGCTGTCAGGAAGACAGCTACTAGAGGTGTGCTTAACTCTTAATCATATCTAAAAACAGCAATGTTTACATACACAGGTAAGTTTTGAATATTCCCTTAAATAAATGCACATTTATAACTGTGTTTATAATGATACATAAAATGTAAATGCTTCCAAACATAAAATACATAAATCACTGCATTTACAATTTTGCATGTTTCGGGTTTCCAGAAATAATTTGGGGGGAAAAAAATGAAAATATTTAACGTACATCATGTTTTATGCCACCAAGAACATGCAGAACCAATTTAATACTAAGTCCTCATGTCTGCTAAAATATAACTGTGTGAAAATGATAATGCCAAAGACATCTTAAATTTGTCCAAAAAATCATTTTTTTAAATTTATTTTATAAATTGTAGAATTTGTTAACATGAACAATGCTGACCTTTGAATGATAGCTGTAGTCATTCAACTATAATCTGATAAACTTCTGTCTGAGTATAATTAATTTGTTCATTGTACAGTCCTGGAATCAGATCTGGCCTGAAATTATGTTGTGTACTCCACACTGCTAAAGAGAGTTAGATAATTTTTGTGCTAATGGCTATTTATTATTTATAAAATCAGATTTTTATGGTTATTTTACTGCCTGAAATCTCTTCACTCTGTAAGTCACCCTTTAGGAAAGCTGGGAGCCTGTTAAGTGCCCAGTGGGTGAGAGTAACTTATCTGTAATGAATCTCATCTGCCACTTGTCTACATAGTTCACTGATTTATCCAAACCCCTCTGTAGAGAAACAATATGTGTATGGGGTATGTGACATTAATTAGCTGACTGGAACTTGACAAACTCTACGCTACTTAGTTCAGCATCGTTGGGCATGTGAGTAAATTATGCATATCTAATAGGGTCCTCATTTTAGGAATGTATCCTTTTAGTATTTTATCTTATACTCTTTAGGAGACATTAAACCTATAAATAAAATGTCATGTTTTTGATACATTAATACAATTGTTATACGGAAAGTTTGTTGTGTTCCTTTGATACAATGTAGCTTAGCTTAATTAAATGTGTGTGTATCTGGTAATACTTGCAGAGTCATTGGGAATTCAAAGTGAATTATAAATTTAAAGGAATACTATAGTGACAGGACAACAAACTTATTCCTGTCACTATAGTTATGAAAACACATTTTAGGGCCCCAGTCAGCAAAGTGAAAAGTGTTTTTGCTCACCTTTCTTCCAGTGCTTTGCGGGTCCATCCAGGCTGGCTCCTCCAACGCTCCACATCATTGGCTAAGATCATCAAAGTTGATGATCTCAGTTAATCCAATGGTTTCCCATAGGAAAGCATTGGGAGGCTATCACGTATGCGGAGCAAAACGCCACACTGTGCCAATCAGCATCTCCTCATAGAATGTTGTGCAGCATTGACCCAGGAAAACCTTCTAGTAGCCGTCTCAGTGACTGCCTCTAGAGATGTTCCTGGGCAGCAGTGTAAAAATGGCCTTTTCTCATTTAGCTGTAGGAGTTCTGGTGACTATATGTTTAAGTTCAAAAATACCAAGATGGAAATTCTCTGAGCTGCTATGGTTTCAGTTTGGCTACTCCCACCTTAGATTTGAAATTCACTTTGAATTCTCACAATTTTTCTAAGTTTGTCTTTGACAGTGAGTCATCTAAATTGAAACTATTTAGTCATTGTTAAATGCCGGGGTAGACATACAAACATAAATACAGAAAAATAGGTCCTTCACTCAAACTCCCACTACTTCTGGGCGGCAGGAACAACCATAGCACGTAGTAGTGGGAGTGTGAGCGCAGGACCTATTTTTATGTATTTATATTCACTTTCATATCACACAGCCATGTTACAATGCTGCCATCCATCTATTAAGGGTTAATATGTATGTAGAGGTTCAGAAAAATACTCCTCCCTCGCTGTCTCATTAGAGATGTCTTTGCCTGAAGGATGCAAGGTGAATTGTTAGTGTAGGACCCCCCTAAGAGGCTTGCCTTGACGTGGCAGGTAAGCTTACATCTTATGGCCATTGGACTTACTAAATAACCTCCATTCATTTAGTAGTTAGGCTAGTGCACAGGTAACAGTTTTTTTCTTTGCTTGTTTTGGGGCTGATGTGTGCTATGGTCGTGCTGCCTCCCAGGAGTAGTGGGAGTTTGAACGCAGGATCTATCTTGGGGTATTTGTATTCACTTTTGTATCACACAGGCATGTTACAATGCTGCCACCCATCCCCTGTGTTCCTTATTAAGGGTTAATAAGTAGGTGGGGGTTCAGAAAACCTCATTAGAGTTTTCTTTGCCTGAAGCTCAAGGAAGCAAGGTGAATTGTTAGTGTAGGACCCACCTAAGAGGTTTGCATTGACGTGGCAGGTGGGCTTACATCTAATGGCCATTGGAGTTACTAAATAACCTACTTGTATTTAAATAAGCATAGGGATTTGGGCTCGTGCAAAGGTAACTCTTTTTATTGGAAGTTAGCGAATGTTGTGCCCATTTACAAGAAAGGTAATAGGGAGGAGTCGGGCAACTATAGGCCAGTAAGCCTTACTTCAGTAGTGGGGAAAGTGAATGAAACCATGTTAAAGGATAGGATTGATGAACATCTAAAACACATGGATTTCAAGATCAGAGACAACATGGGTTTACTTCAGGGAGATCTTGCCAAACTAATCTTATTGATTTTTTTGATTGGGTAACTAAAATTATAGATCAGGGTGGTGCAGTAGACATTGCTTACCTAGATTTCAGTAAGGCTTTTGACACTGTTGCACATAGAAGGCTTATCAATAAACTGCAATCTTTAAGTTTGGATTCCAATATTGTTGAATGGGTAAGGCAGTGGCTGAGTGACAGGCAACAGAGGGTTGTAGTTAATGGAATATATTCAAAGCTTGGGCTTGTCACCAGTGGGGTACCTCAGGGATCTGTACTTGGACCCATTCTCTTTAATATTTTTATTAGTGATATTGCAGAAGGTCTTGATGGTAAGGTATGTCTTTTTGCTGATGATACTAAAATATGTAACAGGGTTGATGTTCCAGGAGGGATAAGCCAAATGACAAATGATTTAGGTAAACTAGAAAAATGGTCAGAATTGTGGCAACTGACATTTAATGTGGATAAGTGCAAGATAATGCATCTTGGACGCAAAAACCCAAGGGCAGAGAACAGAATATTTGATAGAGTCCTAACCTCAACATATGAGGAAAGGGATATAGGGGTGATTATATCTGATGACTTAAAGGTAGGAAAACAATGTAATAGAGCAGCAGGAAATGCTAGCAGAATGCTTGGTTGTATAGAGAGAGGTATTAGCAGTAGAAAGAGGGAAGTGCTCATGCCATTGTACAGAACACTGGTAAGACCTCACTTGGAGTATTGTACACAGTACTGGAGACCGTATCTTCAGAAGGATATTGATACCTTAGAGAGGGTTCAGAGAAGGGCTACTAAACTGGTTCATAGATTGCGGGATAAAACTTACCAGGAAAGGTTAAAGGATCTTAACATGTATAGCTTGGAGGAAAGACGAGACAGGGGGGATATGATAGAAACATTTAAATATATAAAGGGAATCAACACAGTAAAGGAGGAGACTATATTTAAAAGAAGAAAAACTACCACAACAAGAGGACATAGTCTTAAATTAGAGGGACAAAGGTTTAAAAATAATATCAGGAAGTATTACTTTACTGAGAGGGTAGTGGATGCATGGAATAGCCTTCCATCTGAAGTGGTAGAGGTTAACACAGTAAAGGAGTTTAAGCATGCGTGGGATAGGCATAAGGCTATCCTAACTATAAGATAAGGCTAGGGACTAATGAAAGTTTTTAGAAAATTGGGCAGACTAGATGGGCCGAATGGTTCTTATCTGGCGTCACATTCTATGTTTCTATGTTTATTCAAACATAAAAATATGACATGACAATATCTAAGAAGGTAGTACTTACCAGCAAAATCAACTGATCCTTGGTCGTCTTCTTTTCCATTGGTTGTACCTGATTTAGCATTCAGAAATGAATGTTTACCTTCAACAGCTTCCTCTACTAATTGTGATTGCTCGGATCCAGATGTTTTTTCACCAGTTTTAGCTTCATTTGACTCTTTTCTTTCTAGTGTATTTAAAGGTTGTAGCTTGTTATTGTTCTCCATATTTGGCCGAAAAGTTTCAAAAGCTAAACCTGAGCTGTCAGCCAGATTTTCCTTTGTTTTTGGAAGTGGTGTTAAAGCTATAGGTGTGGTTTGCTTAGGATTGTGTTTGTTCCTGCTAATAAATAATGGACTTTCCTTAAGAAAGTTTTTTAGTTCTTCCAGTGTCTCTTTAGGTATTGCAGAACCAAGAGGTAACAATTCTTCAGAGACTCTTTCTGTGCTATGTTTAGTGTCCATTTTCTTATCTTTTATTTTTTCCTGAGATACATCTTTGGTACTTTTGGACCCAACAGCCTCTGGAGATTCCACTTGTTTGGTATCTTTTCTTTGTTTCTCTTGTTCCATTTTAGTTGTGTCCTCTCTTCTGTTATTTGTGAGAGCAAAACCTTGTTTTTCTTCTTTGAGAAGCAGTTTAGTAGACATACGGTCAATTGTTTGAAAAGAAGAATCTGTGGAATTTTCCATACCATCATACACTTTTTCAAAGTTAGACTGATCACAGAAACTTGCAGTATGCGATGTATCTTTTTTCTCCCATTCTAGTGGTGGAATATACTTGCCCGTAACTTTGACACCTCTCTTTCTTCTTATTCTGGATAGCACACTCCCATCAATTTCATCATTTTCAGTCATGGCCAATTCCTGGATCCAGGAAATTAATTCAAATGTTACCAAGTGTATCCTTATGTACGTACGTGCATTATTAGTCATATATAATTTCCTAACTTTAATGATTGTCTTCTTATATGGCAAACTTTACAGACCATTTGAAAAATGCATAAGTAGTATTTATTTATACAGTACGGAAAGCAATTTCAAATGTCATTATGAATTTTTACTTTGCAATTCCATAAAAGATATTCCATAAATCGCATTGTTACTTAAGGGGTTTACTCACTAACCAGAGAATTATGATTAACTGTCAGGCCAAAATAGGTGAGATAGAAAAATGCCACTCAATGTTAATTAGATATAGTTATATATAAACAATTAATGTTTCTGAAAGAAACTTGTTGGTAATGTTTTAATGGGACTGTATTTAAACAATTGCCGTTATCAGATAATATCTACTGGAAACAATAAAGACTAGTATTTCATACCTCTGAATTGATAGTAGTTTCATTGTCCATTACAAGTATACACAGTGCTAGCTCAGGTTACCATCTGGAACAGATAATGACACAAATTAAGGCAATATTTATAGGCTATGTAATAATACTGATGACCTAGAACCTTTATTTTACAGCATTTTCCAGAGTTCTAAGTCAGTGTAGACAATGAATGACACAAAACAGTTGTTGATGAGTTTAAACAGTGTCCATAGTTTACTGGAATGAAGTAGAGGTGGTCAAATGATACTATACTTTAATAGTTTTCTGCTTGTTTGAAACAAAGGGAACAAAAGGTTCCCTTGTTTCAAACACTGATGTTGATATAGCCAACAGTGTTTTATTTGCAAAGGGCCTGATTGTAATTAGAGCTCATTCTAGAAAATTTATCTCCTGCCTGATAAAGTTTTCATAGATTGTTTTCTAACATTTTATTTGTATTTGTGTCTATCCCTTCTCCTATTAGTGTTTTATATTGCATTTATATAGTAACTAACAAAATAAACAATTAATATTTTTGTACTGCTGAACTTGAATATCCACTGCATTTTAACCTCTTCTGTGTCAATAGTTATGCAAGCTTCCTTGTATAGTGAAAGTCTTAACATGTCATCTATTAGAAATAAGTCAAATTAATTGTTTTTGGTGATAAAAATAAGTCAAATTCATTGTTTTTGCATATATCACAACTGAAAAGATTGCAACATTTATACAGAAATTAATTTTATGCATTTACATAACATAATAAAAAAATCATCCAGCAGATGTCACTATCTACAAAGAATACCATAAATGTTTGGTAAAATGGGAAGCTATTTTAAGATTATAAAAAGCTAAATTACCTGGAGTAGCCATATTTTAGAAATGTTTACATGGGTAGGTGGCCATGTTGTTGGTTAGTTAGGGCATTGTTTATAGGGTAGTGATTCTGTACTGTTGTCCCTAATCATTAAATGCATGAAGTGCCAATTTCAAAAAGAAATAATCAATTACCCTAAGGTTTTTAAAGATATTAGTGGGCACCAAAACCCTATTCGGGATGAGTGAATTGAGTACTTGAGAAAGGGAAAGACCAAGTGCTTGTAAATAATCAATACAAACTTTATTGATTAACAGAGACTTAATTAATAAGTAACAACATTTAATCTATAGTGCACATTCAGCTTAAGGAAACAGTTTTATTATCTAGATATTCAGCTTAAGCTATACATCACCATTAGAGAAGCTTGGTGGTCACTCCGCTGCACACGACTGAAAGAACTTCTGGCAGTCAGGTTTGAAGGGACCCTCTCTGGGAATCAGCAGAACAAGCAATACACATCCGTATTACAGGTGGGTAGTAATCCAAGCGAGTGCCACGTTTTCTTGTCTTTTACACCTTTATTACCAATGGGATGGATAGTATGTACTTTTCCACCAAGTTTCCTTATCAGTGCAGCCCAGCAAAGACCTTTCAAAAACATTGGATGGGACCGGCAGCTGGACAGGCTGTTCAGGACCACCAACAATGCCATGGCAGGTCTGTGCGCTTAATTATCTCTTATCTATAAGCTAGCTCTGTACTAATAATTATCTTGTGATGGTACACATAAGTCATTCTGATGCTGTGTTTTGTGGTTTTCATAATTTTTTTAGTGCTGTGTATTAATAGCTGTGGCATCCAGGCCTGCATCTAGTGATACTACCTGTGTGTGCTTATGTGCTTACCGGCACCATCTTAACTATAAGAGTTTAATTTGCTCATTAGTGATCAATCATTCTTAATTAATATGGAATATTATTATCACATGTACTTATGGCCTCTATCTAATAAGCTTTGCAAATGATTCCATACTGTTAGAAAATATTTCAAATGATTTACCTACAGAAGTCTATAGTGGTTTTTGTAGATAAATGATTTGAAAAGTTTTCTAAAAGTACTGGATAATTTGGAAACTTATTAAATCAAGGTCTATGTTGTATAGCTCCAAGTTAACGATATTATCAAAGAGAGAATGTGGGTGACATTGTGCTAAACTATTAATTGTGAGTTACTCACTAGTTACCACGGAATCCCAAAGTGCTAAATCTGCTTAGAAACTCCATGTGAAGTTGTTGAATATGCTAACTTCTATCCACCTTCCTGTATTGTAAGGGGATAGAGGGCTACCACAGAGATACAGAAATCTTAAAGATGCAAGAATCTCCAACCATCATAACCACTATAGCCTAATGTATTGTTATGATGGTATGAGTTCCCAGGTGCTGTTTACAGTACTGGGTAACTGTTTGACAACAGTTTGCCCTCTTAATTAGGATTCTCTGGGAAAGATCTCCTCTGCTGGCAGGCTAATGTCGACCCTGTCACTGACTCATTGGCTGAGAGTATCACCTGAGTACTCGCAACCTGTGAGTGTCTATGCATAGAAACAGAATTGACGGTAACTAGCCTTGAACTCTTGTTCTGGCCGGCTAATGACACTCCAATGACGATGCCAGAGGCAGAGTTAAGCTAGGTACCATACCAAAACATTGCACATAAAAACTCCAATTAACATGTCACCTTTACAACTTCATATCACTGAAGTAGTCATAGTGTTTAGGGAAACCCTTTAAATCTCCGATTTCTCTCGACATAACAGCTAATTTTCTGTTTAACATGATAAACATGCGCTAGGACCTGTAGTTTGCCAAGACCCCTGGGCCACATATCTTACCACCACTAAATAAAACGAACCAAGGAATTCCAAAACCTGTAACTGCAAAAACAATCTTTATTCTAGGTCACCAATAACTGTCATTATTACATTTTTGCATTTAATTATTATTAACAAGTGGGAGGCACCTTTCCTAGTATTCTTTTTAAAAAAAAAAACTGAACAAACATAGAGTCACAAACAAATAGCATTGAGGAAGAGTACTGGAGGAGAAAAATGAGGCCTTGAGGGAAGGCAGGCCTATTTAAATACTCTAATGACTTCAAGTTGGTCTTTAATTACATTGTGATTGGCTGAGGATTTCAGAGTCCTCCTATCACTTCAGTATATTATCTTGTGCATGGTAACATAAGAATCTTTAATGTTTATAGGAGCCTATTTCTATGAGATATATATTTTTCATTTTGATGACAGTGACAGGAATAGGATCACCGTTTTGGTGACCGTTGGTTCTTCATGAAATGGGCCAGGGATGCGGAATCCCTTGGTCTAACTATGTGGGTGGGAGGATATATTTTTGTGTTACTAAATATTCTTAACTCTATTCTACATGGATGTGATTTTGTTAGAATTTCCTTCATGGGGTATGGTTTGGATGTTGGTGGTGCCACATGCATTAACCCTTAGTGCTGGCACAACTGAGTGACTCATAGCTTGTAGCCACAGCAAAATGCTTTAATTTTGCTACTCTTTTCCCTTGGTTACTTACTTGGCAATTGGTATGATGAACTAGTCTACTAAAAAAACACATAGGACAAACATCCACAAACAATTTGCCACAATTACCTCTCCATTCATTAAGGCCCAAGATGGCATGGTCAAAGCCAATTCTCCAGTCTTTCTTTCAAACAAATGTGAATGGACATATGTTTCTATTGCAATGGAAACACCAGTAAATGACAGCTTTATCTAGCATATAGAAAACGTGATAAGTGGAGCACTTTTCTTGCACAAACTAAAGTAATACCCCTTCATATAACATAGTACCACCCAATGGTTCCTCTCAATTTAAAAGGTCTCCTCTGAGTTTCACATAAAAAGGATTAAAAAACAAACACAATATAGTGTAATATTTCCAATATAAAACCCCTAAAGAAACCCTATTGGACTGAGTCAGCAGTGTGCTTGTATTTGAGATCTTTGTTGCTTTCTCTTTAAGAGCTTTTGTAGTCAGTATGATGTACATTAGTCACCTCCACTCTTTCCTCACAAATATTTAAAATTTAAAATAAAAAGCACAAACAGAGAGAACCCTCTGTCACGGCAAGGGTGCATAGTTCATTATTGCACTATGGAATATTGTCCTTTATTGTAATTTGTGGAGTGCATAGATGACCTGACTGCCTGGTAGAGGTGGTATTGTCAATGTCAAAAGGGGTAAATTTGATTGTATGGGAGTTCATAAGGCTTATAGCCTTAATTCCTCTTTGAAGCTGGGACCGCCACAGGGATCAGATGACAGAAGGGGTAATGTAAATTGCATAGGCCTGTGAAAGGTTCAGATGGTTTACCATATGGATGGATCCTTTGATCAATCAAAGGCTCTGCAAGGTGTGAGATTCTACACTTGAAAAGCCTGAATGTCTGGTCCAAAATGTAAACTAGCTGGCTTCAACCAAGGCCTGTACCTTGTAATTGATGAGTGGATTTATTTGATAAGTTAATGATCAATAGCTTTCAAGAAAAGAGAAAAAACAAGCCTTGTGTTCCAGTATCATATCCAAAAGAAAGAAACATTAATATTTACCCACCGAATAATAATTAAGCCTCTTTTTTGTTATATTTGGAATGTGACCAGCACAATCTTCTAATCAAGCCCAAACATGATTTGTGTAACTTAACCATAGGGGAAGGGATTGTGATGTCCGCTATATTGGGTCACAAGTAAGAAGTGTGATATCTCTATGGATTGGGAAAATGGTAACCAATTCATAGATGCAATTATTATTTCTGTGGCAAGTACATAAGAGGAAATAGAATCAAATGTTTTCATTTTGATTGATGTTGTCTGGAACACAAGGAGGTGGTCAATTATAGTTACTATAGGTACACCTTATCTCCACCTCTGGGCGAGGTTTGATAATCCATGGGGTATATGTCTAATGATTCTGAAATGTGTCTTTGTACTTGCTTTTGGGGCCAAAATCTAATTCTAAGTGAGTCACAATCTTTCTTACCAGAGACCCCCCTGAGATGGAAGTTTTACTTTGAAAAGCTGAATAAGTAATTAGGACTTATGTTATTTTATCCCTTTTGCTTTTATCTGTTGTTGGTGTAAATAATTTGTTTATCATCTATTTTTTGTATGCACTGCGATAATTTTTTGCTCATAATAAATATTCCTTTATTAAGTCGTGTC